CAGCGATGTGTCTCTCTCCCTGCCAGCTCCCAGATCAGCTTCTCTGATTGGTGGACGTGGCGCGTCGAGCTGCAAAAGTTACATTTTTACCATCTCGAGCAGCAGCGCGTTTGCGCCGCGTCACGCTCGTCAGATACTTAAACTCCTCCACTAGGGGCAGTACATCCTCCCTAACCTGGAGAAGGCACTCTACCCTTTTCCGGCTCAAAACCATGGTCTAGGATTTGGAGGCACTGATCCTCATCCTGGCCGCTTCACGCTCGGCTGCAAACCGCTCCAGTGAGAGCTGTAGATCACGCCCTGATGAAGCCAATAGAACCACATCATCTGCGAATAACAGAGACGCAATCCTTAGGCCACCAAAACAGATCAACACCTTGGCTGCGCCTAGAAATTCTGTCCATAAAAGTTATCAATGCAATCGGTGACAAAGGGCAACAGAGTCCAAACGAGTCCGACTTACTGCCGGCAATGCAGACCAGGTTCTGCCACCGGTCATACAGAGACCTAACAGCCCTTATTGAAGCACCCGGTACTCCATACACCTGGAGTACCCTCCACAGGACTCCGCGAAGGACACGGCCAAATACCTTCTCCAGATCCACAAAACACTCATTACGTTGGTAATGATTTTTTTGTTTTTGTCAATATCACAAAATAATGCTTGTAATTTAATGTTTCCTGCTGATTTTTTTTAAGTCAAACAAGTCCCAAACAAGTAGTAGCTTATGCACCGTTTGGTTCTGTAGTGAAAATGTTATGTTGAGTGAGCGAACATTTCAAACACAGCTCTTAATATATTTTGACTGAGCACAGCCTTCTCTAAACTCTACAGAAAATGTGAAACGCTCTTAAAGAAGGTCACTGAATATATTATTGATTTTTCCTTCATCAAACACCCATTTCATGCTGTCCCATTCTTTTAGACATATGATGTTGCGTATGAATTCCATGTTTTATTAATCAGCTCCAATAAACTTGGAATAAATAAGCTAGACCTTGCAAAGTTGCATCAAACTAAGGGATATGAGCAGGACCAAAGTTGATGAACACAGAGGGACAAGGATGAATACAGCTGGTGGTTTGAAAAATGTGGGTGTAGTTGTAAGATTGTGTACACTTCACTG